TGGCGCTCCTCGCGTCGCGGACCCCGGTGCTGCTGCTGGAGCTGCTGGGGGTGCTGCTGGTGCTGGTGCTGCTGGAGCTGCTGGAGGTACTGCTGGTGCTGCTGGAGCTGCTGGAGGTGTTACTGGTGCTGGTGCTGCTGGAGCTGCAGGAGGTGCTGCTGGTGCTGCTGGAGCTGCTGGAGGTGTTGCTGGTGCTGGTACTGCTGGAGCTGCAGGAGGTGCTGCTGCTGCTGGCGGTGCTGCTGGCGCTGCTGGAGGTGCTGCTGGTACTGGTGCTGCTGGTACTGCTGGAGCTGCTGGACGTGCTGCTGGAGGTGCTGCTGCTGCTGCAGCTGCTGGAGGTGCTGGTGCTGCTGGTGGTGCTGCTGGTGCTGGAGCTGCTTGAGCCGACGGTCTTGGAGGTGCTCGTACTGGAGGTACTGGAGCTGCTGGGACTGGAGCTGCTGAGGGGGTTGGCGCTGGAGGTGCTGAGCGACTGCGGCCGTACTACGTTCCGCTCCTTCAGCAGGTTCTTGGTCTCCCGCCCTCTCCTGGTCCTACTCCTCCTCCCCTACTGAGTCCACCACCTGTCCCGTCGCAGTCACAGTTACAGCCTGCCTCTCTACTGCCTGGTCCTTCTCCTTACACTGCGCCGACAGGTAGCTTTACGGAGCGTCGTGAGCCTGAGTCTCGTCCTCTTTCGCCTGAGTCCAGTCCTGCGTCTTCTGAGTCTCGTCCAGAGTCGCCTGTCCGCACTGCCCGCACTGGTCGTCGTGCTCCGCGTCAGCGTCCTCCTCCTGTCCTTGGCACTCACTATATGACCCTGCGTCCTTCCACTGCTCCACAGCGCGTCCCTCTGCCGTCTCCTCCTGCGTCCTCTCTTCCTGACGTTGCCGACCCGCCGTCAGACCTTACTCGTGCTGCCAGTCCTACTGTCGCGCGTCTCCTTGCCACTGTTATCACCTACCCTACCTTTGAGTCCTCTGCTGCGTCTGCTCTGGTCGCTGAGCTTGTTGACTTTGCTGCAGCCTGTCGTCTAGACTACGCCGCTAGCCTTGTTGCTGAGTCTGAGTCTGAGTATGTCTGTCCTCCGTCTGTCGGGGGTGAGTGTGCTCTTGGCACGGACGTCCTTGAGGACAGACAGGAGGAGTTTGAGTGCTTTGCTGCTGCTTTACCTCATCTCGTGTCCATGCTGATTGCCCCTGAGGGAGACCCGGATGCACCAGACATCCCGACCCCACGCTCCTACGCAGAGGCGATGGAGGGTGAGTACTCCTCTCAGTGGCAGACAGCCATGGACGCAGAGATGGCTTCCTGGAAGTCCACAGGCACCTACGTCGACGAGGTTCCCCCACCTGGGGCGAACATCGTCAGTGGCATGTGGATTTTCAGGGTGAAGCAGTCGCCGGGTTCTCCGCCTGCCTTCAAGGCGCGTTACGTTGCACGAGGCTTCAGTCAGCGAGAGGGAGTTGACTTCTTCCAGACCTTCTCCCCGACCCCGAAGATGACCACTCTTCGGGTTCTGGCTGCGCCGCCCACCTGGCTTCACTGGGTCGTTCCAACCTGGTACCCAGTGGAGCCTCCGGCGGCCGGTCTACGGTCTCCGCCAGGCGCCCCGTGAGTGGCACGACACACTGAGGACTACTCTTGCTGCTCTTGGGTTTGCTCCTTCTACTGCTGACCCGTCGCTGTTTCTACGCACCGACACCACTCTGCCGACGTTCTACGTTCTTGTGTACGTAGACGACTTGGTCTTTGCTACTGCTGACACTGAGGCACTCGCCCACGTGAAGTCGGAGCTGCAGAAGAGACACACGTGCACAGACCTGGGTGAGCTGACAAGCTATCTTGGCTTGCGGATCACCCGGGACAGAGCACAGCGCACCATCACCTTGACTCAGTCACACATGGTGCAGCAGGTCCTTCAGCGCTTCCGCTTCACGTACTCCTCGCCTCAGCCCACTCCTCTGCCTACCGGTCACTCGCTCTCAGCTCTGCCTTCGGATGAGTCCGTAGAGCCGAGTGGCCCGTATCCAGAGCTTGTGGGCTGCCTCATGTACCTGATGACCTGCACTCGACCTGACCTAGCCTACCCTCTTAGCATCCTAGCACGCTATGTCGCTCCTGGCCGTCACCGGAAGGAGCACATGGATGCCGCTAAGAGGGTGTTGCGCTACTTGTGCAGTACGTCGGGCATGGGGCTTGTGCTTGGAGGACGGCGCGACGTTGTCCTCGCTGGACACTCAGATGCTTCTTGGGCTGACGACCAGGCTACGCAGCGGTCGTCTCAGGGTTACACCTTCAGCCTTGGCTCTGGCTCTGTTTCCTGGCGTTCTACACGCTCTTCCTCTGTTCTCGGCTCCAGTTGTGAGGCTGAGATCTACGCCACAGCCATGGCTGCCCAGGAGCTACGCTGGCTCACCTACCTGCTGACCGACCTCGGAGAGCGGCCTCGTTCTCCTCCAGTGCTGTACGTCGACAACAAGGCAGCCATTGCCTTGTGTGAGGAGCACAGACTGGAGCACAGAACGAAGCACATCGCTCTGCGCTACTTCCTTGCTCGAGAGCTGCAGCAGCGTGGTCAGCTTCGTCTGCGTTACGTGGCCACTCGGGCCAACACTGCTGATGTGTTCACCAAGGCGCTTCAGCCTTGTGACCATCAGCGTTTCTGTACTGTTCTAGGCCTTGTGCCTACTCTCCCTCACTTGCTCACTTCTTGACTCTGCTTGTACTGTGATCTCTATATATATACCTGCATGCTTTCACTTGCTAGGTTGGGATCACTGTACCTCTTGTTCTATTATCAAACTGCATGTGAACTGGTCTTGTGACCACTTGCTTGTGCTCGGAATTTGTGTGGTATCCTTGAGATCCACCCTGAGCTTTGCTTTGCTTTGACTGGTCTTGTGACCCTCTGGTTGTCTCCCACTTCGCCTATGGGGGTGTGTCAAACATTGTATGTTTACATTGTGTAGGCTATAGTGGGTTTAGCCTTAGGGGGTACACAAACTTAGGGTTTCCTACTTGTACCCAACTTTATGCTAGTTCAATCATTTCCTGTTTCGTCTGACAAGCGTGTCAGAAATAACGCGCCCCGGGCGCGCGATAGGCAGGACAGCAGCGGAAGCAGGTGGGCCTACAGGCAAGGAGCATTCTTGCTTTGATAGCATGTCAGAAATAACGAACAAGAAAGTTAGAAACAGAAAGAGGGGTTGCACTAGCAGCAGATAGGAGACATATAGCAAACCCTAATTTGGGCTGTACTCACTATAGAGTACCCCACTGCAGACTAGACAATTCTAGCATTCTGACATAGCGAAGACTTGATGCCTCTTTGCAAGCAACCTGCGCTTTGGAAAAAGCTCCATCAGTCACATAAAAAACCAACAGAGAATGCAAGATATGATCAGGTGAAACTGACCTGTAGATTGATGCACGGACGTCGCTAAAAGAAGCTTCTGAATCTGCCTTGAGACAACTTCAACTGCAATACAGAACAACGACTGTAAGAACACACCTGACATTAAATTCCGTTGACTATGCTACAAAAACAACCTGATATAGCGATTTTTGCCGAAAAAACTGAAGACTCGGCGTCGATGCATGAAGCATCCGCGTCTGTCTCTAAGAAGGAATCCATTTGACAGCCAACCAGGCCCTCAGATTCGTTTTTGGCGTGTCTGGTTCATCAGACTCGTACACAATTTTAGTCTGAAACCCTCAGAGTTGGTATAAAAAAAAATCTGAAATTTCAGAGTGCCTTAAAAAAAAAGTCTGAAACATCAATGTATCTATTCTTTCATCAGAAATGTATTCAATGTTTCATTTAATAACGAAACATGCTAGACTAAGGGGATTTTCATGAGAACATGCTCTGACAGGGCGAATTTCTCTGTCAGGGCGAATCTGGTGGTGTGAAAGAGCGAATCTGCACTGTCAGGTAGAATCTCTTGGTGATTGGTCGAAATTGTTGTGCTCTGACGGCGCAATTCTGTTGTGTCAGGGCGATTTTTCTGTGATTGGGCGAAAATCTTGTGCTGTAAGGCGCGGATTTGCTGTTTCAAGCCGATTGTGCATGGACAGTGCGAATGTGCTGTGACTCGTGAAGTCCAAACCGAATCACCAGTCAAGAACGCAAGCGGAAAACGGAATCGGTACGCGTTTGTGCTCTGAGTGATCAGAGTACACTCCCAGAAAACTCTGAAACGTCAGAGTTAGCTTTAAAAATTCTCTGAAAATTACAGAGTTGGGGCCCAAAAATCTATGATTTTAACAGAGCTCACTTAAATAAAAATCTGAATTCTCAGAGTTTTTCATGCAAATCAGAGAAATTTCTCTGACTTCTGGAGGCCTGCAGCCAACCTCAAGTGGCTGGTCCCGAAGCGCAATGTAGTCTTCAGCATCCATGACAGCAGAGGAGAATCGTGTTTAGCTTTCACAATGAGCTATTTCATTCACTTGTAGCGCGCACCAGCGAGTTCTCTAGGTGGGAAAAGAAAGCTGCATCACAGGGAGCTCCAGCACTAGCTTTTTTGTCAATCGTCTACATTTACAAGACGGTTATACGTCTGTGTAATTCATTACACAAAGCATTCACACTCTTCCAAGATGCCGTTCATATAGATGTATTACAAATGGTCGTTTCACATGTCACATTATGTACCATACAATAATTAATAATCATATATGGTCGACCGCAATACCTTCATCACCATCATACCGTATTAAATCTCGATGTTAAAACGTGAAAAAATAGAGCTCACTATTGATGTTTCGGCAGAATCTAAACAGGGCGTTATTGAAAATCTTGAGAATGCCACCATGGCTCGAATTTTTGCTAGCACGTGTTGCATTGCCAGAGCAACAGTCGTGCTAGTCGTGGGTTGCTGGGGGTAGAGTTGTAGATTTTCAAAGTTGTTGAAGCAGGGGACAGCAGGTTACTATGAAGTAGGAAAGAGATGTGTGGTGCTGGATGTACCTACTGTATAGTAACAAAGCATTACAAGTTTGCTGTTTCCAGATCATGACTTGTCCGTTGCTAAATACAACGTGATGCAGTCTGTAGCATTGTCAGCATCCTTCCAGCTGCGCCCCACAAACGTGACCTGCAGCCCAATGTTTCGCTGCAATGCCGGTTTCAGCTGTGAGTAGATCACCGTCACTGCCCCACTGCTGCCCCTCCCTGCTTTCACGTCCGGCTCCCCCAGCGCCGCCACCACCTCCTTGGATTTCATGCTCACCCTGGAAGGAGGGGCGGAGAGGGGAGGGGGGAGAAGGAGAGGAGATGTGCGAGATGAGGTGCGGGTATGAGGGGTACTATGGTCCTCGACTCCCCGCTGCTGTTCCCCCCTGCTTTTCACTCTGGGAGGAGGGGAGAAGGGATGAGTGCATGGGGAGTGGAGGTGAGAATCAAATGATTGGGAAAATGGCATGAGTTGCCCGCTTCCCATATCTGTTTCCCCAGTGCTTTTGCACCACCCGCTCCCTGGCATATATGGTCACCCTGTGAGATGGAAGGTGAGGGGAGGCGAGGGAGGAGAGGGGAGGAGAGGGGAGGAGAGGGGAGGAGAGGAGAAGTGCGAGATGAGGTGTGGGTATGAGGGCTAGTATGGGGGTTGTTGCTACTACCTCCCTTCCCTGCTTGCACGTCCAAGTCCCCCAGTGCCTTCACCCCTTCCCTGGTCTTCATTATCAATCTTAGAGAGGGGAGAGAAATAGAGGAGTATATGTCGCAGCGCTGTCATGGCACACATGCACGTGATCATACCCATGCACATCACTGTGTACGTGCACCACTGCTACCCTCTCAGCTCTTTGCATGTGAAACACGCGTCAAAAGCATGTAACTTGCGTGCTACATCCATGCAACTTGGCTGGAAAACGTCGCGCTCACAATCCGAATGGAAGCGACCCAGGGAACGCCTTGTACCCATGCACGTCGCTGTTCACATGCACGGCCGCCACCCTCCCAGCACTTTGCAAGTGACACACATGCACTCACTTGAGCTCCACGGGGAGGGTCCCAGAGAACGCCTTGTACCCGTGCACGGCTGCTCTCGTCTCAGCTCTTCGCATATCACATGAGCAATATCTGAGAGCTACACACTCACTTGAGACCGAACGGAAGCGCCCCAGCGAACGCCTTGTACCCATGCACATTGCTGTACACATGCACGGCTGCCACCCTGCCCTCCTCCACACACAGCGACAGCCCCAGTGCCTTGTAGTTCACGTACTCGCACGCTGCCCGCCCCCTCACTGCTGGAAACGCCTTCCTCTCCGCCTCCAGGGGGCTGCTCGCACCCCCTGCGCTGCTGCCTCTGCCGCTGCTGCTGCTGCTGCTAGCCCTGTTGTTGCTTGTGTTGCCGTTGCTCGCATCCCCTGCGCTGCTGCCATTGCCACTGCTGTTGCTGCCTATTGTTCTGCTGCTGCTGCTGCCGTTACTGCTGCTTGCTAGAGTGGCCAGGAGCTGGGTGGCGACGGGGTCGTCTAAGCTTCGATCGAGAAGGCTCATCACGGAAGACGCCATGGCTGACGGCGGGAGGGGGTTTAGCGCCGTTCAGAGCGGTGCAGAGCAGCTCAGAGCACGTCAGAGTGCTCTGAGTCTGATCAGATCGCACGCAGCGCTGCGATTGGTTATGGGACAAAGAGGGATAGGAGAGCGAGTGGGTGGAAAGAAGGATGCGAATGCGGTTGGTGGAATGAGGTATGGGAGGGAGAAGTGATTGAAACGGGTGGGATCAGGGTTGGGAGAATGGTAAGAGGATCCTACTGATGAGGAGGAGAGCGGAAGGCAAGGGGCATATGAAGAAGAGGGGTAGGTTTGTGCGTGGAAGGGAGGAGGAGGAAAGAGAAGAGGTGAGAGGGAGGAAGGGAAGGATGAGAGTATTGGAAAAAAACAAACGGAAGCAGCCGAATGAGGAAACAGTGGAGCGTGGGAGTGCCGCGCCGAAACTGTGACTTACATGCTGCTGACGGTGATACCACGGCGCATCAACAAATAACACTGGAAAAATGGACAGTGGTCGACCGGTCCAGCCCTAGTAGATCCTTTTTCAGGCACCTAAAAAAAATCCGCGAGAACTGAGACGATTTTTTTGGTGCGTCAACTAATGAGACTGGGACAATGACGGTGGTTGACTGGTCCAGCCCTAGTCGATCCCTCGTGCGGCTCAGACACGAGAGCACGCGTACGTCTCGCACACGAGACCGCGATTCAGCAGACTTGTGATCCGTGCCGCGTAAGGCAGCACTGAGCTGGACAAACGCATCGCTCCGGTTCTAATCTTCCAAGCGATTGAACAGGCACCAGCACCAAGGGATTTAAGTGATGGTGCAGAAGGCCGGACAGAGTCGCTCGCCTAGGTTAGGTTAGGTCAGGTTCTCACCGCGAGCCTCAGATCGTAACGACGGTTGCACCTGGTGGAATTGAGCGAGCACCAGTTGAGCGAGCACCAGTTGTGCACGGTTGGGACAGCTTATGAGACTGACTGGCGCTGGTTCGTTGCTCAGCGAGCATGCCTTGGCTTGGAATGATGGGGTGAGGCGCGTTGAAGCAAGCAAACTCTTCAGAGTGTTCGCTAAAACAACCAGAGAGAGGGAGAGAATGCGAGGGGGAAGGGGGGATAAGAACATGGCCATGGTTGGCTGTCGTGTGAAGCACTAGCACAAGAGGAAGTCAACAAAGAGGAGATAGGAAGTAGGGGGAAAGGGAAAGGGGGAGATAAGAAAAGCGCGTAGAGTGAAGGGAGGGATTAGGAAGGGGGGGGAGAGGGTAAAGTGGAGATAGGAAGTGGGGGTGGAGGGAAAGGAAGAGAAGGGAAGAAGGGGGGAAATGAGGAGAAGCAGGGGGGAAAATGAGGGGAAGCAGGAGGAAATGAGGGGAAGCAGTGATGGGCAAGAAAGTGGGAGAGGGAGGGGGGGAGGAATGGGATGTGGGGAGAAATTTGTTTGAATCCGCTCTTAGCCTTGGAGGGATGGGAAGGGAAGGTAACAAGAGGGAATGGAAGCATAGGGAAGGGAAGGCACGGGATGGGAAGGTGTGGGAAGGGCAGGGGAAGAGAAGGAACGACGAGGGGAGGCGCGACGAGGGGAGGGGCGGCGCGACAGGGGGAGGCGCGACGAAAGGAGGGGGGAGCGCGACGACTCGTCGAAAACGTCTCACCCCAACCTAACCCAAAATTGACCTATAGGTCACCTTCGGGTCACGCGCCCAGGTTTAGCGAGGGTCCCAGGGTACGTCAAGTTGGGGTCACTCAACATTGACCCCAACCTAACCTGGCATCCAACCCAAAGGAGACGCGCAGGTCGTTACTGTTCATCCGAGTCGCTACTTGCATTTAGAGTGACCCACTCTATGCTATAAGAAGCATGCCAACTACAGTAATTATTACGAGCGACAACAATGCGATGATGCATTAGTATAGGGTCGTTATCGCTGTATATTATGCATAGCACAGGAGTTAAAGATTCAGAAAGTAAAATTTACTACTAAACACATTCAGATACATAGTACATGCAAGAGCATCAAAATCTACAACGTTACATTACACAAGTAATACTAAGATCTACAGGAAGGTTGAGGCATGGTAAATCAAGGTGAGTGTGATATTGCATTTCGACCACCACATGCCTGCCACACACCAATAGTAGACACATGTTAGCAAATTTGACGAATTGCAAATGAATGCAGCCCATAAAAACCCAGTTTTACTCCTGTAAATACCATCGCCTTTTGAAGACAGTTACTGACATACCGAAAATGCATGGCAGCTTTGTCCGCAACATCTGCACACATACACATGATAAAACAATGTTGATGAAAATTAATAAAGGCAAACAGATGTACTGTCACGTTGAGAAGGCGATATTGAATGTAACGGGAAAGCTAATTACCTGGTGTCAGAAAGTAGGAAACGAGAATGACTAGAATGACAGCAGTACAGGGTTTGTATAGCAAAACCTAATTGGGCTGTACCCCATAAGCAGTGCCCCACTACAGCCTAGAGCATATAAATGCATAGTTCTGCCACACCCCCATAGGCAAAGTGGGGGACAAGCAAGAGAACGAAGCAAGGTCAAGCTCAGGGTGGATCACAACGTCACCACGCAGTCCGAGCACAAGCAAATGGCCACAAGGCCTGTCCACATGCAGAGCTATATAAAGGAGAACAAGCAGTACAGTGATCACAACCTAGCAAGTGTAAGCATGCAGGTATATGTATATAGATCACAGTACAAGCAAAGTCAGGAAGTGAGCAAGTCAGGCCAAGTAGGCACAAGGCCTAGAACAGTACAGAAACGCTGATGATCACAAGGCTGAAGTGCCTTGGTGAAGATATCAGCAGTGCTGGCCTGAGAGGCCACGTAAACAAGACGAAGCTGACCACGCTGCTGCAACTCTCGAGCAAGAAGTAGCGCAGAGCGATGTGCTTCGTTCTGTGCTCCAGTCTGTGCTCCTGACACAAGGCAATCATGGCCTTGTTGTCGACGTACAGAACTGGAGGAGAACGAGGCGGCTCGCCCAAGTCGGTCAACAGGTAGGTGAGCCAGCGTAACTCCTGTGCAGCCATGGCCTCTGCGTAGATCTCAGCCTCACAACTGGAGCTGAGAACAGAAGACGAGCGGGTAGACCGCCACGAAACAGAGCCGGAGCCAAGGCTGAAGGTGTAACCCTGTGACGACCGCTGCGTAGCCAAGTCGTCAACCCAAGAAGCGTCTGCGTGACCAGTGAGGACAACTCGAGCCCGTCCTCCAAGCACTAGCCCCATGCCCGACGTACTGCACAAGTAGCGCATCACCCTCTTAGCGGCCTTCCAGTGCTCTGGTCGGTGTCTCCCGGGCACAACGTAGCGAGCCAGGATGCTAAGAGGGTAAGCAAGGTCAGGTCGAGTGCAGGTCATCAGGTACATGAGGCAGCCCACAAGCACTGGATATGGGCCACTCGGCTCTACGGACTCATCCAAAGGCAGAGCCGAGAGCGAGTGACTGGTAGGCAAAGGAGTGGCCTGTGGCGAGGAGTACTCGAAGCCGAAGAGCTGAAGGACCTGCTGCACCATGTGTGACTGAGTCAAGGTAATGGTGCGCTGTGCTCTGTCCCGAGTGATATGCAAGCCAAGATAGCTGCGCAGCTCACCCAGGTCTGTGCACGTGTGTCTCTTCTGCAGCTCCGACTTCACGTGGGCGAGTCCCTAAGTGTCAGCAGTGGCAGAGACCAAGTCGTCGGCGTACACGAGGATGTAGAACGGCGGCAGAGAAGTGTCGGTGCGTAGAAACAGCAATGGGACAGCAGTAGAAGGAGCAAATCCAAGAGCCGCAAGAGTCGTCCTCAATGTGTCGTGCCACTCGCGAGGCGCCTGGCGGAGACCGTAGACTGGCCGCCGGAGGCTCTCTTGGGTACCTGCAGGAAACGACCCAGTGAAGCCCGGTGGGCGGCGCAGCCAGATCTCCTCGTGCAGGCTGCCCTGTAGGAAAGCAGTGCTGAAGTCAAGAGAGTGAAGCTCGCAGTCACGCTGAGCGGCGACGTGCAGCAGAACCCGAAGAGTGGTCATCTTCGGGGTAGGGGAGAAGGTCTGGAAGAAGTCAACTCCCTGTCGCTGACTGAAGCCTCGTGCAACGTAACGCGCCTTAAAGACAGGCGGAGAACCCGGCGGCCACTTCACCCTGAAAATCCACATGCCACTGACGATGTTCGCCCCAGGTGGGGGAACCTCGTCAACGTAAGTGCCTGTGGACTTCCAGGATGCCATCTCTGTGTCCATGGCTGTCTGCCACTGAGAGGAGTAGGGACCCTCTATCGCCTCTGCGTAAGAGCGCGGGGTCGGGATGTCTGGTGCATCCGGGTCTCCCTCAGGTGCAATCAGCATGGACACGAGATGAGGTACAGCAGCTGCAAAACACTCAAAGTCCTCCTGCCTGTCCTCAAGGACGTCCGTGCCAAGAGCACACTCACCCCCGACGGACGGAGGACAGTCAGACTCGGACGCAGCAACAAGACTAGCGGCGTAGTCGAGACGACAGGCAGCAGCAAAGTCAACCAGCTCAACAACTAGGGCAGACGCAGCAGTGGACTCAAACGAAGGGTCAGTGACAACAGTGGCTAGAAGATGCGTGACAGTAGGACTGACAGCACGAGCAAGGTCTGACGGCGGGTCAGGGACGTCAGGAAGAGAGGACGCAGGAGGAGACGGCAGAGGGACACGCTGTGGAGCAGTGGAAGGATGGAGTGCCATTTGGTGCGTGCATAGGACAGCAGGAGGACGCGGACGCGGAACACGACCAGTGCGAACAGTGCGAACAGGCGACGCCGGACGAGACTCTGGCTTACGACGCCCCGTAAGACCTCTAGTCGGCCTAGAGTAAGGAGAAGGACCAGGCAGCGGAGAAGCTGGCTGTAACTGCGACTGCGACTGGTCAGGCGGTGGACACAGTAAGGGAGGAGTAGGACCAGTAGAAAGTGGGAGACCAAGAACCGACTGAAGGAGTGGAACGAAGTACGGCCGCGGCCGCGCAGCGCCTCCAGAACCAGCAGAGACAGCACCAGTACCCCCAGCTCCAGGGTCTCCAGCTCCAACTCCCGCAGCACCACCAGCTCCAGCACCTCCAGCAGCCCCAGCTCCGGCAGCACCTCCAGCAGCAACAGCTCCAGCGCCTCCAGTTCCAACTCCTGTAGCACCACCAGCTCCAGCAGCACCTCTTGTAGCAACAGCTCCAGCGCCTCCAGCTCCAACTCCTGCAGCACCACCAGCTCCAGTCGCTCCAGTACCTCCAGTACAAGCACCTCCGGGACTAGCGGCTCCAGCACCTCCAGCAGCTCCAGCACCAGCAGTACCTCCAGCAGCTCCAGCTCCAGCAGCTCCAGTACCTCCAGTACGAGCACCTCCGGCAGCTCCAGCACCATCAGGACCTCTAGCAGCTCCAGCTCCAGCAGCACCTCCAGCTCCAGCAGCTCCAGTGCCTCCAGTACAAGCACCTCCGGGACCAGCGACTCCAGCACCTCCAGCAGCTCCAGCACCAGCAGTACCTCCAGCGGTAGGCCCCCCAGCTCCAGCAGCACGGCTCCAGCGCCGAGCAAACCACTCGCGCAGCTGCTGTGGAGAGAGGGACTCCCGCCGTGACAAGACACCCGGAGGACCTCCAGACTCAGCACGCTCAGGCTCAGCACCCCTAGGCTCAGCACCCCCAGACTCAGCACCCCCAGGCTCAGCACCCCCAGGCTCCACACGCTCAGGCTCAGCACCCCCAGGCTCCGCACCCTCAGGCTCAGCACCCCCAGGCTCCGCACCCTCAGACTCAGCAACCCCAAGCTCAGCACCCCCAGGCCCCGCACCCGCAAGCTCAGCACCCCTAGCAGCACCAGAGTTGACAGCTACCTCGACAGGCTCGACAGGGTCTACCTGGGACACACCTGAGGGGGCAGGACCCTGAGGGGGGAGGGGGTCTACCGGAGGAGTACCTGGTGCTAGGAAGAGCGGCGGGGGGGGGAGAGGGGCAGTGCGGTAGGGAAAGAGACGGTAGTAAGGAACCGACTCGTCAAACGTGACGTCTGAGAGGGCAGGACACGGCGCGAGGTGGGGTGGTAAAACTGCCAGCCAGGCGCGTCAGGGTGGAAGCCAAGGAAGACGCAGGGAACAGCACGGGAGGACAGCTTGTCTGCAGAAGAATCGCGGACAAAGGATCGAGATCCCCAGACACGGAACACAGACGCATCGCCAACCTTCCCCTTCCACCGCAGAGTAGGTGTGGTCTCCGGCATGGAGACACGGGGCTGGAGGTTGAGCTGATGCGCCGCGTACTGGACCGCGAACGGCCACAGAAAATGGGGAGCAGCCGCATGGATCATGGACGTACGAGCGACGTCCATGACCATGCCAATGCGGCACTCAGCAATCCCATTTTGCTGTGGGGAGGCCGGAAGCGTGAACGTCTGGCGGATGCCCTCCACACGACAGAATGCCCTCAGAAGGTCGGAGGAAAACTCACCACCTCTGTCGGAGTGCAGACGCAGAACAGGAAGGTCCGAGCCGAAACTCTCGCTGAGCTGGCGACGGGCAGCGCGGATCCAGGTGATCAACACCTCAGTGACCTCACCCTTGCGGCGCAAGGGGAAGACTGTGGTGTAACGCAAGTAGTCGTCAATGACCAGCAGGAAGTAACGCTCGTGACCCTGTCCACGGACGCAGGCTGGGCCCCACACTTCCATGTGGAGAGTCTGCAGGGGAGCCTCCGTCAGAGGGAACTCAGAGGAGTGAGGAGCGGCGTGCTGCCGGCTCTCGACGCAAGGAACGCAGGTAGGGGCAGGCCCCGGTGGGAGGGGAGGGAGAGACCGGGGGAGACCAGA